AATGCAATCCCTATTAAAATACCAATGGCATATTTCACAGAGCTAGAACAAATACTTCAAAAACTTATATGGAATCAAAAAAGACCCCAAATAGCTGCAGCAATCTTGAGAAAGAAATCCAATGTTGGAGGGGTCACAATACCAGATTTCAAGTTATACTACAAAGCCACCACAATCAAAACAGCCTGGTACTGGCACAAGAACAGGCATATAGATCAAAACAGAACAGAGAACCCAGCAATCAACCCAAGCAATTATGCTCAATTAATATTTGACAAAGGAGGCAAGAGCATACAATGGGGTAAAGGTAGTCTCTTCTATAAATGGTGCTGGGAAAACTGGACAGGTACATGCAAAAGAATGAAACTAGACCACCAACTTATACCATACACAAGAATAAACTTAAAATGGACTAAAGACTTAAATATAAATTGGGAAAACATAAAAATCCTAGAAGAAAACAAAGCAACAAAATATCTGAAATCTCATGTAGCAGAATTTTCACAGATACATCTCCTGGGGCAAGAGAAACAAAGGAAAAAATAAACAATGGGACTGCATCAAACTAAAAAACTTCTGCACAGCTAAAGAAAGCTGTCAAGTTGAAAAGAGAACCCACTGCACGGGAGAACATTTTTGCCAATGATACCTCTGGTAAGAGGTTAATCTCAAAAAAAACACACCCCCAAACATATATATAAAGGACTCATACAACTCAACAAAAGGAAGACCAACAACCCAATTAAAAAGTGGGCAGAGGACCTAAATAAACACTTCTCTAAAGAGGACATACAACAAAAGTCCTGGAGACATATGAATAAGTGCTCAACATCACTAATCATCAGAGATGCAAATTATAGCAGCAATGAGGAACCACCTCATACCTGCCAGAATGGCTACCATCAATAAATCAACAAACAACAAGTGCTGGTGAGGATGTGGAGAAAAAGGAACCCAAGTGCACTGCTGGTGGGAATGCAGACTGGTAGAGCCACAATAGAAAACAGTCTCCCAGCAAACAAAAGCCTGGGTCCGGAATTCTTCACAGAGGAGTTTTACCAAACATTCAAATAAGAACTATCACCTATACTCCTCAAACTATTCCAAAATATCCAAGAAAAAGGAACACTTCCAGGCTCTTTTTATGAAGCCAGCATTACCCTAATCCCAAAATCCCAAATACCATCAGAAAGAATATATTCAAAAGCAAAACAAATGATAACTGTAACTCATTCCAAAACAGCTCTAGCCCTCCTGCCCCCCTTCCCACACCCTCTCTGATTTTCCTTTCCAAGTCCCTCCCGGTTCCTGGAGTCCCTTACAGGACCCGGTCTGGGATCCTGGGCTGATGTCCAGTTAGGACTTTCAGAGACTTGCTCACACATCATGGTCTGGAATCCTGCAGCCATCTGGGATCCTGGGCTGGTGTCCAGTTAGGACTTTCAGAGACTTGCTCACACATCAACAGCCACTAGTGGCCTCAGCTCTGAGTGGGCCATTTCAAAAGCACCACCTGCCATCACCAAAGAAACACACCTCACACCCGTTCTCTCTTACGGTTTCTACTGTAAAGTCTGGGCAGAGCAGTGACCCAAGGCTGGCACAGGGGTACGAGAATGCAACTCCCCCTAGCCAGCTACCCATGCAGACTGAAAAGGAAGGCTCAGGTCACGGGCAGGTCGCTGAGAACCAGGTGCTCTCTTACGGGCCAGAAGAGGAATGACTTGTGGGGAGTTAGGCAGAGCCTCCAAGGGCCCTGCTTGGAGACCGCCCGCCGCTCCGTGCACTATGTTCAAGTGCAAGGAACCTGTCCCTTCCAGCAGAACTGAGCCACAGAGAGATAAGCACCCACCTACCTCACCATGTGGTACCAGGGTGCCGTTGCCTGTCTAAGGATTCTGGAAACGTGAAGTAACCTACAGTTTTCCAGGAAAGGACCCATTATAAGAGGCCGGGCAGAACCCTGAATTTACAGGGAACCACAGACTCAGAGACACCCCCTCTCCCAAGCTGTCTATACGTGTATAAAATTAGGATAATACCGAGTAGTCTGCTCAGCTGCCGTGAGAATCAAATGAGAAAATGGATAGAAAAGCTTTTAAACTAAGCACCAGCAACGTGTGAAATACTAATCGTTTCAAGGTTTTAACACTAAGCTTGCACTGGGGGTGACTAAAAGCTGCAGTTCCCTGGGCTCAACCACCCAGGGGTCAGCATCAGCTTCCACATGGAAGTCACAGCACTGAGCACAGCAGTGCCCCCCTCTCCTCCTAACCTCCCCCCCGCCCCCCCACACACACACTGTGCAAACAGCCCTGTGCAGAGGAAGTTAGAAGCAGGTCATTTGCGATCACTCAGACTCCAGTTTCAAGCATGACCTGTCATGGCGTCTGAGCCTCTTGCCGCTCAGATTTCTCATCTGTACAATGGGGCTCCCACTCCTCACCTCAGAGGTCACCTGTGATGCCTAATGACACCAAAGACACTCAGTACTCCTCCTGGCCCCCTCCAGGCCACTCACCGCATGTAGATTCCAGGCACGCACAGTGCCATCTGAGGACGCAGTGCACACCACAGACTTCTCCCGCCTGTCAAAGCAGTACTCGTTGGGTGAGATGTAGGCCAGCTTAGCTATCCCTCCTGAAAGAGAACAGACTTGCCTCAAATGGACACTCCTCACTCCTGCCTGGAGTGTGAGCACAACCTGGGAAGGGCAGGCGAGACAATCACTCCCCTTTCTGTCACTGCAGCACAACAGCCAGCAGTGGAAAGAAAGGGCTAGGGCTTTAGACTTACAACTTGGGTTTCATGCCCAGGACTGCACACAGCCTACCAGCCCCAAAACGATGAAATAGATGCAATGAGCCCTCCTCACAGGGTTACAGTGCCTGTCAATGACTTAACACCAATGTTGAACCCAGCATGGAACGTACCCGTCAAGTGGCATTTTCCAACTCACTGGCTGAAACACAAAATGCCATGGGGCCGGGCCAGGGAGAGTGAATGGTGGGAAAGCATGCAGCTACCACACTCCCAACACCATACCTTTGTGCCCGGCCAGGGCTTTGCAGACGAAGTCCTTCTCTGGCCGCCCAGATTCCACTCGGAAGTCCAGTTCGGATCGGCAGAGGTAGTACTGTTTCCATGTCTGTGTGCCCCGCGTCACCTGGGAGTCTTTACAGGAGGACCAGCGTCTCAGACACAGCTGCCTGAAAACAGACCACAGTCCCAGGCAGGAAGGAACAGTCATCAGAAGGTACTGTGGCACTAACAGGCCAGGCTTTAATCCCCGCCTTCACCATCTATCAGATTGAACACCTCACTATGCCTGTGTAGACCGCATTTCCTCTACTGTCAAAGGGGGAAATGATGAGGGCGTACCATGTGAGGTGTAGTGCTTTGTGTGTATCCAGTCAATCTGCAGAACAACTCTGTGAAGTAGATTCTGATTGCCATTCTGCACGAGGACAGAGAGGCAGAGAGAAGAAAACACTTACCTAGGGTTATGCAGCCATAACCATTCCAAGGCTCTGCATATTTTGAAGTATCTAACTCTTACTATTGAATTGTCTATCTTTCCCTTCAATTCTGTCAGCCCTTCGTGTATTTTGTTGCTGTTAGTAGGTGCATACATGTTTATAAATTTCATTTTTTATTGATTTCTGAGAGGAAGGGAGAGGGAGAGAGAGATAGAAACATCAATGATGAGAGAGAATCATTGATTGGCTGCCTCCTGCACACCCCACACTGGAGATGGAGCCCACAATCTGGGCATGTGCCCTGACTAGGAATTGAACTGTCACCTCCTGGTTCATGGGTCGATGCTCAACTGCTGAGCCACGCCAGTTGGGCTGTTTATAAATTTTAGATCTTGATGGATTAACCTGTACTTTCTGTCTTAAAGTCTATTTTGTCTGATATTAGCCTGGCCATTCCAGCTCTCTTTTGGTTACTGTTTGCATAGCATATCTGTTTCCATTCTTTTATTTTCAACCTGAGCCTCTGCATTTAAACTGTGTCTATTATAGACAGAATAAAGTATTAATCCCTTTTGCCAATCTCTGCCTTTTTATTGGAGTGTTTAATCCATCAAGACAGTATTTACATGTCATTTGCTTATTTCTATGCATTTTCCTTCTCATACTCTATCACTGTCTTCTTTTATATTCAGTATTTTTCAGTGTCCTATTTTAATTCCCTGTTGTTTCTCACACCATAGTTTTTTGAGTTCATATTGGTTGCTTTGGAGATTACTATTAAAATATTTATCTTTTTTTTACTTTAAACAAAATTACTATTTTTTTTTTTTGTTAATCCTTACCTGAGGATACTTTTCCCATTGATTTTTAGAGAGAGTGGAAGGGAGAGAGGGGGAGAAAGAGAGAGAGGACAAACAGACAGACAAAACACTGATGTGAGAGAGACACATCAATTAGATGCTTCCCGCATGCATCCCAACCAGGACTGGGGATCGAACCTGCAACCCAGGCACATGCCCTTGACCGGGAATCGAACCCACAACCCTTCGGTGCTTGGACCAATGCTTTAATCACTGAGTGACACCGGCCAGGGCAAACAAAATTCACATTTTATTTACGTTGAAAAACTAACTTATGAAAATCTAGTTTTAATAACTACTTAATTTCAATAGAATTCAAAAACTTTGCTCTGGTATAGCTCCATTTCTTGTCCCCTCATTCATGCTGTTATTATCATATAAATTACATCTTCATACATCATGTACCCAAAAGGGATTTATAGCTATTGGTTTATACTGTCTTTTACCTCACATAGGAGAAACAGTTATAAAAAATAAATTTACACTGCCTTTTATATATGCCCATGTAGTCATTTTACAGTGCTCTGTATTTCTTCACGTGAATTCAAGTTCCTGTCTAATGTCCTCAACCTAAAAGACTCCCTTGTATTTCTTGTAGGGCAAGTTTACAAGCAACAAACTCACTGAGCTTTTGTTAATCTGGGAATGTCTTAATATTCTCCTTCATTTTGCTAGTTGCAGAGTTCTGGGTGACAATCTTTTTCTTTCAATTTGTAATCTCACTGCCTCTGGGTTCTATTGTGTTTTTTATGATAAGTCAACTGTTAATCTCATTGGGGGTCCCTTATACATGATGAATTGTTCTCTCTTGATGCTTTCAAGTTTCACTCTGATTTTGGCTTTCAAGTTTGATTATGTGCCTCAACATGAAACTCTTTGAGTTTATTCTACTTGCAGTTCATTGAGCTTTCAGATGTGTAAATTAACATTGTTCATCAAATTTGGGAGGTTTTAAGCCATTACTTCTTTAAATACTTCCTTCCTTCTTCCTTTCTCCTATCATTCTTGAACTCCTATTATGCATTGTGGGCACACTTGATGTTGTCCCACAGGTCTCCTGGGCGGTGTGAGCAGAAGCCAGGGTTGGGGATTCTGGGGTTAGAGCTCGGAAGTCAGACATGCCGGTGTCCTGTGCTGAGTCACTCGCTCATGCTGAAGAGAACATCTTTCTCAGGCAGACCTTTGCTATCCAGGCATTTTTGCCTGGGGTGAAGGCAGTTGCCCAACCCTTTTGGAAAACTCTTTGCCTCACTGTGTGGAGTTTCTGAGGCCCATTAAGAGACTAAGAATAACAATTAGCATCCAGGCATAATCAATTGCCCCAACCAGTTGGAAAACTTCTCATTCCATCTGTGGGCAATAGCATGAGTAAATACAATCAGTCTTCAGGCAGAGGTGGTTCTCTGGAGGCTCTGAGTCTTTGCCTGATCTAATTAGTCAGAAACAGCTTTTGACATTGTTCTGGACTAGAGACAGGGAGGCATAGCATATCCACCTAATGCATAGTCACAAACTCAAATAGGCAGCCAAAATGGGAAGACAAAAAATAACCCCCAAATGAAAGAACAAGAGAATTCTCCAGAAGAAGTGCTAAATGAAATGGAGATAAGAAATGTATCATACATAGAGTTCAGAATAGTGATGGCAAAGATGCTCAACAGCATGAGAAAAGATACGGTAACTATGAAGAATAGCATAACATGAATAAAGAGCACAGTGGAAGGAATACACAGCAGGTTAGAGGAAGCCAAGGATGGGATCAGAGAATTAGAAGACAGGATAGAAAAAAATCACTCAATCAGAGAACCAAAGAGAAAAAACAATTTAAAAAAAGGACAGTTTAAGAGGGCTGAGGAACAACATAAAATGTAATAATATTCACATAATAGATATGCCAGGAAGAGAAGAAAGTGAGCAAGGGATAGAGAATGTGTTTGAAGAAATAACGGCAGAAAACTTCCCTAACCTTGAGAAGGAAAGTCACACAAGTTCAGGAGGCACACAGAGTCCCAACCAAGAAGAACCCAAACAGGCCCACACCCAGACACATCATAATTAAAATGCCAAAAATTTAAGACAAGGAGAGAATCTTGAAGGCAACAAGAGAAAAGCAATTTACCTACAGAGGCGCTCCCATAAGGCTGTCAGCTGGTTTCTGAAACTCTACAGGCCAGAAGGGAATGGCTTGAAGTATTCAAGGTAATGAAAAGCAAGGATCTGAAACCAAGATTACTATATCCAGCAAGGCTATAATTCAAAATAGATAATGAAATTTCCTGAGACAAAAAAAAAAAGCTACAGGAGTTTATCTCCACCAAGACAACATTACAAGAAATGCTAGAGAAATTGCTATAAGAAGAAGAAGAATAGAGAGAGGGAGAGAGAAACATAGGCATAATGAATGAAAATGGCAATAAATAAGTATCTATCAATAATAACCTTAAAAGTAAATGAGTAGCCCTAGCCGGTTTGGCTCAGTGGATAGAGTGTTGGCCTGCGAACCAGAGTCCCGGGTTCGATTCCGGTCAAGGGCACATACTTGGTTACAGGTTCATGCAGGAGGCAACCAATTGATGTGTTTCTCTCACATCAATGTTTCTATCTTCCCCTCTCTCTTCCACTCTCCCTAAAAACTAATGGAAAGATGTCCTCAGGTGAGGATTAACAACAATAAAAAAGTAAATGGAGTAAATGCTTCCATCAAGAGACAGGGGTAGCTGAATGGATACATAAATATGACCCAAATATATGCTGTCTACAGGAGACGCACCTCAGAACAACAGTCTCACATAGGATCAGAGTGAAAGGATGGAAAAAAAGATTTCCATGCAAGTAGAAAAAAAAAAGCTGGCGTAGCAAAACTTATATCTCACAAAATAGACTTCAAAATGAAGGCCATCACAAGAAACAACAAAGGTCACTGCATAATACTAAAGGGATCGATCCAACAAGAGGCTGGGATCTGTTACATTTATACCATGGAATACTAGAACAAACACTCCAAAAATTTATATGGTACCAAAAAAGACCCCAAACAGCTGAAGCAATCTTAAGAAAGAAGAACAAAGTTGGAGGGATCAAAATACCAGATATCAAGTTATACTACAAAGCCACTGTAATCAAAACAGCCTGGTACTGGCACAAGAACGGGCATATATATCAATGGAACAGAACAAAGATCCCAGAAATCGACCCAAGCTATTACACTCAATTAATATTTGACGAAGGAGGCGAGAACATACAATGGAGTTAAGACAGTCCCTTCAATAAATGGTGTTGGGAAAAGTAGATAGATACATGTAAGAAAATGAAACTAGGCCACTAACTTACACCATACACAAGAATAAACTCAACATGGATAAAAGACTTAAATGTAAGACATGAAACCATAAAAATACTAGAAGAAACCATAGGCAGCAAAATCTCAGACATCTCTTTCTCAAAAACACTAAAAATGGAACTCCCATTTGACCCAGTGATCCCACTTCTAGGAATATATCCCAAGAAACTAGAAACACCAATCAGAAAGGATATATGCACCCCTATGTTCATAGCAGCACAATTTACAATAGCTAAGATTTGGAAACAGCCTAAGTGCCCATCAGCAGATGAGTGGATTAGAAAACTGTGGTACATCTACACAATGGAATACTACACTGCTGTAAGAAGGAAGGAACTCCTACCATTTGCAACAGCATGAATGGACCTGGAATACATTATGCTACGCAAAATAAGTCAGTCAGAGAAAGATAAATATCACATGATCTCTCTCACTTGTGGAATATAATGAACAATATAAACTAATGAATAAAAACAGATCCAGAGACAGAGTAGCATCGACCAGACCATCAAACCTCAGAGGGAAGGCAG